GCGCGCCGTTTCGTCCGACAGACTGGGTCAAGAGCGTCGCGCCGGGGGACAAAGACAGCGCCGGTGTCGGCGGGGCAGTCGGGGGCGGCGGCGGCGGCGGCGACGAGTTGTTGTTGCCCATGCTTGCTTGAGGTGGTGGTGGGCGAGACGCGACAAATGGAAATGTGACTGAGTCTGCAAGTGCGAACCTCTGTACGTCGTGGGCGTGACCAGGCGCAGAGCGATCCATACATTGTACGAGTCGAGGCAATCTTGGATGGTTTCTCGTATTGTTCCAGATATGTTTCTGAGGGTTTACATTCTGCTTGTTGAAACCGGGCATCGCTAACCACATCAATGCAACTTGGTGTAGCGCCCAACCTCCTTCGGCTCGTCATGCTGGCCGACGGAACCCGGACAATTGATGACGCGGCGTCCATGCTCCTAGCATTGCAGCAGCTCTTCCATGGCCCCCAGAACCGCGTCATGCGCGTGTATATCAATACAATGGCTAGTGCATCACCCTACGTAGCCCCATACAGCTTAGCTACTACATTAAGCCATACTTCTTCGCCATCCTCAAGTTGCGTTGGTGTGGCTAGCGATGCCCGGTTTCAACAAGCCGAATGTGGCAACTATTTATCACCAGCAGCAGCCAAACCCTCTGAAACATATCTGGAACAATACGAGAAACCATCCAAGATTGCCTCGACTCGTACAATGTATGGATCGCTCCGCGCCTGGTCACGCCCACGACGTACAGAGGTCCGCACTTGCCGACTCAGTCACATTTCCATTTGTCGCGTCTCGCCCACCACCACCTCAAGCAAGCATGGGCAACAACAACTCGTCGCCGCCGCCGCCGCCGCCCCCGACTGCCCCGCCGACACCGGCGCTGTCTTTGTCCCCCGGCGCGACGCTCTTGACCCAGTCTGTCGGCGAAAACGGCGCGCTGACGCTCGACTGCGGCAGCTCCATGCTTGAGATTTCGCGCATCATCTTTGCCTCGTACGGCCTGCCCGACGGGTCGGGACTCGGTGCCAGGTTCGGAGTGTGCTACGCGGGCTCGTCGCAAAGCGTCCTTACCAACAACTGCGTGGGCAAGCAGTCGTGCTCGGTCGGAGCCAACAACGGGTACGGCCTTGCTCTTGCGATGCGAAAAATACGATATATACTGACTGTAGCGTGTTTGGCGACCCGTGCGTGGGCACGGTCAAGCGCCTCACCGTGACGGCCGAGTGCACGGCTGCCCCCTCGTACCAGACGTATGCGAGCGTGGCGGAACACCAGACGCTCAAGCTGAAGTGCGCCAACGGCTACGTCATTACCAAGGTGGACTATGGTTCGTACGGCACGCCCAACGGCTACACGAACGGGTGGTGCCACGCCGGGTCGAGTGTCGATGTCTTGACCAAGCTCTGCGTGGGCCAGGCCTCGTGTGAGGTGCCGGCGGAGAATGCCATCTTTACGGATCCGTGTGTGGGCACGTTCAAGGCGTTGGCGGCCAAGGTCACGTGTGGTTTGGGCAAGGCGCCGGAAGTCATCTCGACGCCGTTCATCGTCCCGAGCTGCAACACGCCCTAGTCGGACGGTTCTGTCGTCGGTCGTGTCGACCATGTATGTTGGCATCCAGAGTATTATCGTCAATAACTCGTGCAAACACTATTAATCGTATCTTGTGCAAGTTGCAGAGCGCGTGGCTTATGCAGATGCTAGTAACCGCTTACATACTAACGATAGTACTTTTTTACCAAAGGACGACCATCGAACGACGACGATGCACCTCGTTGGTCGCTGGCGTTTCGCTGATGCATCTACCGTATTTCGACTCGCGCTAGGAGAAGCGTGAAGTCATTGGCTGGATAAGTGCAAACACCTGTAATTTTCGCGATTTTCTGCTAATGGGCTTCCATGAGTTCTGGTGCGCTAGGGCTGGCGTCTACCGAGCCACGTGCTCGGCCCGAAGGATACGTATACGCCCCCGCCAACGCAGCTACATAAGAGCACCAGGGGCGCAATGGCAGTGACCAACTTGGTATCTAACGTGCAGTGGGTGGCCGTGAACCTAAATTACGGCGCTGAGAGATAAACCAATATTTCGCTCGATGGCGCGACGCTCTGCGAGGTTACTGACACTGGACACTTTGTCTGCACCCGCATGACGCCTGGAAGCATCTTGTACACCCGGGCCAGCGTCGACGGCAACATTGTGCAGGCTGCGGTGCGTGGCAGCACTCTTTTTGGTGTCGACGCCACCGGTCGGTTGTACAAGGGCGCGACGGCGTCGGCACTGGCGAGCGGCAAGGAAACAAAACGCTGACGCAAGTGCCATACGACGGGTTGCAGCTCTGCGGTGTCGACAAGTACAACCAGGCGCTTGGCGAGTCACTGAAATTGTCGGCGACACCTCTGTCGCAGAGCTGCTTTTAGATTGGCGACGTCATTCAGCTGCAGTTGTTCATCTGCAGTTAGTCGGACACGAGCAAGTATCTTGGACGCCATGGCGGAGGCTACATTCCAGGGTGTCGCGAGCCGACCGTGGCGGTCGGTGGGCTGTCAAGAATGCCGGCAATAGCACAATCACGCTGCAGTCGAACTCCAACACCGAACACGGCCCCTCGTACATTGGGTGCATCAACATCCAGCCGGATGTACAGGATCCTGTCGGCAACGAGGAATCCACCACCCAAATGCTGGCCGAACACGATTGGATCGAGGACTCGACGACTTGGATTGGCCGTCAATTTTAATCGAATGTCGCCAAGAGTCGACAGCTTATGGATTAGGTTGCGCTCGATTCACTTTGCGATGACCGGAATACGCCTCGGGACAAGGATTCCGCGAATGTACATCGGGGTCACATTCGTTTTTTACATCAAACACAAAACAGTAAATCCTGTCCGACTCACTTCTTGGACCACTTCCTCGCACTTTACAACACCTGCTTTGGCACGGGTAGACGCGGCCAGTGTCCGAGCTGTTTGATCGGGACGTCGCTTTCTACCACATCTTCGTCGCGCGTGAGGGGGAATGGTGATGTTGACATTACTGCCGCCAAGGGAATGGCGGGCGGGTTATAGAAACCACTTGCTGTCGAACAGGGAAGAGCTAAACTGGGAGTCGTGGGAGCTGTGAAACTTTCCCGTGCAGTGAACTATGTGGAAGGCTGTCTTCCGCGAGACGAGTCCAGCGCATCACTCGTCAGACAGAAGCATTAGACAGGCATGACCAAAAATGACTACAAATTTACGCGTTCTTCGATCTTCTTCCGCCGTCCTAAAGTACACTCATCAACGCCCTCATGCATAACGTCATCTACCCACCTTTCACGCACGAGTAACGTATCCAGCCGATCATTTCACGCTTATCCCATTGCCCTGCCAGAGAAGAAGTACGACGCATCGAAATAGATGTTGCATCAGCGAAACGCCAGCGACCAACGAGGTGCATCGTCGTCGTTCGATGGTCGTCCTTTGGTAAATGCATAAACCACACGTTTTGCAACTTGCACGAGATACAATTAGTGTTTGCACGAGTTATTGACGATACGACTCTGCGGACGATGCCAACGAACATGGTCGACCCGACCGACAATTGGACCGTCCGACTAGGGCGTGTTGCAGCTCGGGACGATGAACGGCGTCGAGATGGCTTGCGGCGCCGTGCCCAGACCACACGTGACCTTGGCCGCCAAATCCTTGAACGTGCCCACGCACGGATCCGTAAAGATGCAGTTCTCCGCCGGCACGTTGCATGAGGCCTGGCCCACACAGAGCTTGGTCAAGACGTCGACACTCGACCCGGCGTGGCACCACCCGTTCGTGTAGCCGTTGGGCTTGCCGTACGAAGCATAGTCCACCTTGGTAATGACGTAGCCGTTGGCGCACTGCAGCTTGAGCGTTTGGTGCTCCGCCACGCTTGCATACGTCTGGTACGAGGGGACAGCCGTGCACTCGGCCGTCACCGTGAGGCGCTTGACAGTGCCCACGCACGGGTCGCCAAACACACTACAGTCAGTAAATATCGTATTTTCGCATCGAAAGACCAAGGTCGTACCTGTTGCTGGCTGCGACCGAGCACGACTGCTTGCCAACGCACTTGTTGGTGACGACGCTTTGCGACGAGCCGGCGTAGCACGCGCCGAACTTGGCACCGAGTCCCGACCCGTTGGGCAGGCCGTACGAGGCAAAGATGACGCGCGAAATCTCAAGCATGGAGCTGCCGCAGTTGAGCGTCAGCGCGCCGTTTTCGCCGACACTGTCGGTCAATAGCGTCGCGCCGGGGGACATAGACAGCGCCGGTGTCGGCGGGGCAGTCGGGGGCGGCGGCGGCGGCGACGAGTTGTTGTTGCCCATGGTAGCTTGAGGTGGTCGTGGGCGAGGCGCGACAAATGGAATTGTGTGCTTGAGTTGGCCAAGTGCGGACCTTTGTACGTTGTGGGCGTGACCAGGCGCGGAGCGCTGCATACATTGTGCGAGTCGAGGCAATCTTGGATGGTTTCTCGTATTGTTCCAGATATGATTCTGAGGGTTTGGCTGCTGCTGGTGGTAAATGGTTGCCAAATTCTGCTTGTTGAAACCGGGCATCGCTAATCACGCCAACGCAACGTGGGGATGGGGAAGAAGTATGGATGGTAGCTACTAGTAC